CACTTGGACATCGACAGCCATTTCCCTGACAGAAAGGTGATCTCGAAGGGGAACAAGATCGATCCACACCAAGCCTCGACAATCTCACGATGATTCTTACTGGAGTCTCTGAACTTCTTCTCAAACTTCTCATCATTTTGTTCAACCGACTTGATATGACCCATCGGAAGATATACAGACACGAAATGAGACGCTAGAGGGTAACAATTGCCATCAGGGAAACCAGGCTTGAAGACGTTATACCTACACATGGGAAAATCACAGTCGCAGCGAATCGACCAGTACTATCGCGTGGTACTTACAACTGTTCCTTCCTCGCCTGTAGATCATCATGACTCTCCTTGACAATCCTCACTTCGTTTCCGACCACCTTCTGGAATTCCGACATGTCTAGCTTCAGATCTGCTGGAACCGAGATCACAAACTGCGGCATGGCATTAGTCAGCACGAATGGGAGTGCGAACCTGAAACACTATCATCCAAACACCATCTCAAGGGGGCAGCTCGCTGTTGATACTCTCTAACGAGCACTATCGAATAAGAGTATTAACACTGTTCTCAGAACAGGATTTCCAAAGGCTCTTAATTCACACTGTAAGCCCAGCGACGCGTCAAAAACGCATTCATTGTCAGCAGCATAAATCTGGCTCAGGAACATAATGATTCATTCAAGAGCCCGCCTATAATGCCACTCCCATTGTGCTTCCGATTTTACAGCGCCAAGCAGTATCTCTCGCCTGTCGCTAAGATTGATACGGAAGCGTCTCATTCACATTTCACCGCACTCACAGCAAAACTTCATCCATACTAGTATCATTTTCACATCTCATAACCGTATCAAACTCTGGCACAATAGGGGGGCGTTGCAGACCAAAGAGCGCAGTGCCTAAAACCGACTCCATCATCGCTAGCAGACGCTCCGAACAAACAATCCGTGATTCACTCACGCGGTCCACTTTGGCGACTTCTCTTAGGACCGCAAGCAGCCGATAAATAGTCAAGAACGACAGCCATGTAACCTTTGAGAACCTAAGGGTGAGCTCACTAGAAATCACCTACGATAAAGAGAACTGTTGGACAAACGAATCGAGATGATCAGGCCATGCCTCGGCAAACCATCACTATAATCTCCATCATTGTACTTCCGATTTACCGAATGCAGCAGATAACTCGAAACTGCCTTCGAAGATTGTACGGAAGACTCGACCGAGACCATTTTCGAAGCTCTATTGTTCCAAACGGTTCACCAACCCTCCAATGGACCACCCCGTCGAGCTCCTCTGGTTATGCTTACGATTTTACTGAGATCAGCGCGGGTACTTTAGCTGATCTCCTAGATTAATCGAAAGCTCCAGTTCAAACCCTCTCTGCTCACCTCATCACTAGCCAGCTGGAGATACGCATCATACTCGCCACGAGATTTAGAAGCTTGAGCACGCAAAAACCTACAAAAGAACAATAATGCTATCTTTTCTAACCTGGCCTACTCCTCAGTATATTGCGATTGATAGCCCGGTGTGCTGCTAGGGATAATGACAGGAAAAGTCGTATACCTGTGATGAAACAAAACGTAAAAGGATATTAGAAGTAAATCTTCACTTGTTCATTTCCTTTCGCGGCGGGAACTCCCCAAAACACTCGCCATCCTGAGGTCTCGCTTGAGCCGTCAACGCAGGACGCTCTAACGTACCCAGTGTATATCTGAGAGACATCATACCACGGTCGTACAGCGCTTGAAATGTAGCATGTACTCACACGACGACAGAAGTCGACTCAAATATTTTCATAGCGAGATCGCCGTCGTCATCAGCGTTGACTGCAACCGAAATCGGCTGATTCTTGTTCAACCACTTCGACAACGACTCCACAGTGGCATCATCAACAGCCTAAACCACACAAAACGTGATAGCCTTCCAAAGCACTTCCGTGTTCCCACCTCAGGTGCGGTAACATCCAAGAAGCACTCGCGCCACTGTTCAACGATGTCAGTCGGTGGGGAGAAACCCATCCTGATGGCGACTCGTGGGTTATGTCGAAGTGCCTTGACAAGTGACCATCACAAGCTCGCTCAACCGTGACGGACCTAACCTACCTCATATCCATCAGGAAGCTCGCCCTCCGCCGAGTTGTTCAACAAAGCGCTACATTCGCCCTTCGCCAGAGCCTCGGCGGCATCATTGAAAACAGGCAGACCAGCGTAACTACATCACAAGCGACCGCTGCAGCCGAGACAGCAATAAACACCCTACATTGAGGCTACATCCTCCTTAGTGACCTTCGGGACGACTAGATGACGGAGCGCTGTGCATTGTCCCTTGTTCTCTATACCTAAACAGAGATATTGCGATGAGTCTACACGTCGAGCATGCGACTCACAATTGCTGATCCGAGCAGCATCGGCAACCTTGCTGTTGAACGCCGTAGCGATCATCGTATTAGGACCTCCAGTCGATGCCATCATAGAACCTAGATAGGAAGAATACCGAGACTTCTAAACAATCAAATCAACCTCACCGACGACAGGCTTGATTTTTTCAGCAATAGCTCTCGATCCAGTGAAGTACATAGCGGACTTCGGAAAGGCTTTGTAGAGCTTACGTTGATCCTCGACACCACAAGAGACGAATCTGGATAAGGAGAGGCACTCACCAACAACGCAGTTTAGATCCTCCAGGGCTTACGTCAGATATTTGGTATCCACACCCTGCTCGAGCATCGCCTGGAGCAATAGCTGTGACCATCTAAACATGTGCTGCGAGGTGTTGCCTCTTGACATCACTACGACTGGTACCTAGTAGTAAACCGGTTAAGCAGACGATTGAAAGCGGATGCTTACTCCGAGCTCGATATTCCTGATAGACTTCCGGAAGAGATCGAGGAAGTTGGTGAAGTTACTGACACAACCAACGAAGACTGGATAACGACGAATCTTCACATCTGAAAGATTAGACGAATCGCATTGCTAACAAAGGACGACTGACCTCCCTTCTTTTCGTCTTCGAAGAGAGCATCATTGAAACGCCTCTCAACTGCATTGGCTTCGACCGCTTCGACGATCTCGGTAACACCTGGTGGAATACACAGTAATAATTGTCCAACGAACACAACCTACCATCTTGCTTCTGGAAGTCGATCACTTGAGCGCCTATGATAGCACCTGCGCCAGGGCCCGATAAGAACTTCTGTTCAACTCGGCGCATTGGCTCGCGAAGGTCAACAGGGGTACACGCAGAAGCTGAGAAGACCATAGGACGTCCAAGGAGAACTGACGAGTTACCCGTGAGAGTCTCCAGATGGTTGGTCACCTTGTCTATAACAGCCTGGTTGGCTACAATCTGTTTACCATTGACCTTACCTGAGAAGCAGAAGCTCAATAGGCTTAGAAGGGAAGCGACTCCCACCAAAAGCATTGGTAGTATCCACTGTGTCGCCATCACGGAGCAGCTCGCCGGTCACGATTGTTACGATGGGGTCCTCTGACCTGATGCACATCCTGCAAAAACCTACATCACAACAGTTTACCACAATCCTTCTTTGAAGTTCTTGATGTAATCCAGTGCCTGAGCCCTTAGCTCGGCTTCGTCAGCCTCGGGTCGATCAGCAGTGATGCACTCCAGATAGGCTTCAGTGCCGAAGAGGTACTTCATGTTAACACCCGACATATGAAATTCTCGTTAACGGACGAATGGATCTTGGGAAAGATTCGTTCATGAACGTTTCATTGCGACTAGCGCTCGCCCGGATAATCGATGTTTTCGCGTTGTGTGGGTAATTGGTTTTGGATGAAATGCGACCTGGGCTTAAGAAGTGTTTGCTTTAAGCTCAGTATTTTTTTGAGTGAAAACAAAATTATACACGTTTGACATGGTAAATTGTACGAGCCATAGGTGAAACGTTTATCACCTCTATCCAGTCAACATATCAATATGTTCGAGTTCTATATGATCGTTACTTCTAATGTGATACAGGGCACTGCTTGGTTGACCGTTTAAGCCCGTTGTGAAACGTTCCGCCAGTGGCTTGCATGATCATTGCATGAAGGGGCGTCTGGGGCTTCACTCGGAACTATTCTGCCTCTGTGATTTTCCATTGTCGAACGCTTGGGGTGAGTCTCACTGGGCACAATGGATGGTCTTGGAGTACACAGTGGTGATCCTATCCGTGTTCAAGTCCCAGATGGAGATCTCGTCGGTTAAGAGTCGGAAGATTTGTGGTATTAACATTGGTTTCGATGGCTGTGGAGAAAAAATATATCGCTATATATCGCTTTATGGGGATACATTTTTAGACATTTTTTCCTCTAAAATTTCCGTTCGTTGAGTAGTTCTAGAAACCAGTCTTTCACTTGAAACTTGTTCATACTCGTCCAATTGCTGATTTTTATAAAATCGAAATGCGTTATTCATCTGCACGACACACGTTCCGTCTCGGAAAGCAATCTCGATCAACACTTCCGAGGATTGCAGTACATAACATTCTGCTGATGTCTCGATAAGGTTATCCCTTTGACTTTACCTATTATTGCACCGATTATTCGAACGTAGTTCAGAGAACGTGAACTTGACTGTGAAACGCTTAGAGTTGTACGCGTCCTGTTTCTAGTACCAAACTCGCCCACCTCAACGACCTATCTGGATACATTATGAACTTCTATCACATCCTTATATTGGGAGAGTGCGGTGTTGAATTCAATGTGGGGAATTTTTTCTAGAGGAGCAAAGTTGTTTTCAGAGTACATACAGTAGCCTTTGCTGAGCGGTGTTTATTCTTGTATTAATGGGGTTAATATGGTTCTAGTTATTGCTGATTTCTGTGCTAGTTCGTTGCCGTCCAGTCCCTACATGACTCTCCTCACTCAGGCCAATCATGCCTGCCAGAAGGGCGATATTGATAATGCGTACTACGGGGGGATAAGTCTAGTAGTGTTCTCGTATGAGCACGAATGCGGAGCGAACCAGAGGAATTACGGAATGAAATTTCTTGGGGTCAAAATGGGGAAAGGAAACACCATCTTGTCGCGCGCGCGAAATGCATGAACTTTATCCGGAAACGAGGAAGTGCTTGAGAAAAGCACACCAGTAGGACACTTGAACCACACGCATTTCCAATATGGTGTTCTTTACAATATGTGGCAGCGAAGATTGGATCTTCCCGTCTACTTTGGAAAAATGTCATCAGAATAAGCGAGTGCCTCTGAATGCATCTAAATTGGCCGTTTCTGAGTACCTGTGGGCGTTCTCGTATATTACCCCGGAAAATTTCGACTTTTAAATGAAGAAAAATGCTACTTCTAGGGCTATGTAGGGATAAGTCTGGCTTAGAAGAAATGGAAGTAAAATCGCATCATCGCAACGGAAAAGGCATGAGAATTTCATCGTCGTATTTGGCAATGGAAGAATAGGCACTTTCGAGTGGAACGAAGGTCTTCCACGCTAGGTATGCCCGAGTGAAAGAGCTATTCGGCGATAATAGTAGCACCGTTAACGTTGTTGATGGATATGGACAGACTCCGCTGTATTATGCAGTACAGAGGAAGCCTGATCAGGACGCACGGGAGCTCACTAGAAGGCTCATTGAGGAGTAGTAAAGGGTGGTGGAGACTCCTCATAGGTCACTAACGTTTGGTTTTACGGGCTAAGCTCCAAGTATAAGTACATCTCAACTTAACCAGGTTCGTCGAGGTTATTGTAGATTTGATACGGCTTGGAATGCACACTGTGACCCGGAAGATGTTGAAAGTGTTAGTCGAGATGGTCTCAGGTTCGGTTTGGAAGCCAACCATAAGGACCAGATGCTGCAGACTCCTCTGTTCTATGCTGCTCTAGTGGGAAACACGGCTACTTGTGAATTGTTAGTGGATAAGGGCGCGGAGGTCGACCCGTTGGATACGAATAAACAGACTCCATTGTAGTAACGGAAACTAGTAGGGACTGTATTTCTGCATGGGCTACTCATTCGTTATTAGCAGAACCGACATGGTAAAGCGGCGAGTGTTTGTAGTCCCCATAGTGTAGTTTTCATCGTGGCAAATAATTGGTGACAAATCTGTATGGCAGAACTTTGGGCATCCGAGCATTGTAGGGAATCTTAGTCTTTGTCCTTTTTCTTAAATTCGGTGTTTCTTACTGATTCTATTGCGGTACGTAGAGAGGCGTAGCTGTTCTTTTTATGTTATCGCAAGTTGGCGAACAGCAGTAGGTAACTTTCTTGGGTCACTTCTTGGGAGTTAGTGTGAGTTTACTAAGGCTGATCGACTTTGGTTTATCTGAAAGGTTTTACGCGGTGAGGGAAGGACACTTGCATTGCACTCGAGCGCTGGTTACGGTACATGGGGCAAAGGCTGATATAGTGGACCATACTGGACAGGTAGTAGGAGGTCTCCGGTTCGAATCCTAGTGGAGGCATATTGAGATGAAGATTCCTCGACTGTGGCATCCCTCGTCGTTCAGCCACCTCTGTTCTATGCGGCGAGGGAGAACCGCGTGGAGATGTGCAAGATGTTGATTGAGGAGCTTGGAGTTTATGCGGCCCAACGTGATGCGAAGGGGAAAGACGCGAAGTTCTTCGTCAAGGACAATGACATGCTGTACGAATGGGAAGGGTTGCTCTAGTGGTAGAGCGTTCGTTTGCCTTGCGTGAGGTCTCTGGTTCGATTCGGTTCGAAGCCTTGTTTCCGTGTGTTGATCCCTTTTTGATACGACATCTTTGAAAAATTGTCTGTGGAGTGGAACAATTTGCAGCGGAGCGAAGCGACATTGAACTACTATTTGGTCAGTCGTGCATACTTGGCATCAATGGCTGATAAAGCAATATCGAGTCTGGCCGAGTCGGGGGCGCCGCCGCGAAAGAAGTATCGATTAGTGTATAAGGGGAACGAGGTATGCAATATCCGAAGGACCCGGGTTCGATCCTCGGTCGTGACATTTTTAGACTAGTTTGAGTAGTAATGGCGGGACCGTGACGGCTGAGCAAATGGAGGAGTTCGAAAAGAAGTATCCCAACATTGCTGTGTGGGTGAAGGATGTAAGAAGGGCTCTAGAATATGGGAAATTTCGAATTGTGGAATTTTGGTTGCCATTGAAAGGAGACCGTTCAACCCGGCGAGTGACAACGTCTCTCTGTGAATATTGCCTCGGTTAGTGGATGGAGGTATCTGGTTCGAATCCCACAGCACGCATTTTAGGCACCAATTTCAACACCACCGTCTCAAACAAATCCGGGCAAACCAAACGGGCGTTTACAAGATGGCGTATTGAACTCACCGCAGCCTCGATCGAGCCGGGGAGGAGCTAAGAAGTGGCAGCAGTTGGCGAAACAACTTGTTAGAGAAATCCACAAGTAAGTATCTGGAAGTTGGATAGCTCAGTGGGTTATGAGCCTCGCTTGTATATCAGAAGGTGGAGGGTTCGAATATCGGTAGGTTATTTTGGTTTCACATGTCTCTTCAGAGGGACTTGCCCACCCGTGTGATCTGGATAAATTAGTGTTAGTGGTGTCAACTGCGATGTGAGTGAAGATCTATTGATTATGCTTATGAAAACAGATCATTCTAACTAGGATCGACTCCGTTAGCCTATGGTTTCCCCTCGCGCGTTTGAGTGTGGCACGAAGAGTGTAAATGCTCGCAGTTGCAATAGTCCTGAAAGCCTAGTATTGATCATGGTGTCACCTTCTCAGTTTCGATGACACCAGAATATTCCTCAAGCCTGTTGATCCGGTCAGAGATGAATGCTCTGATTACTTTACCGTCGTGAAGCATCCGATGGACTTCGGAACTGTAAGTCTGGCTTGACTAGTTCACCTGTTGATTTGGGAAATATTGAAAACTATGCTGAGCCCTCGTCACAAGATTCTCGTTACGTATAGGAACTCGAATCACTCTTGCCCAGTGAGCTGGTGCGCTGGGATAAGCACATAGTTAAAGCTGTGTGGTGGGGGTACTACGCTGAGGGAAACGGCGAGAGAGGAATATTCCTTGCTAGTTTCGGTGAATTATCACCATAGTATGCGGAAATTCTCAGATGGGAACGCTTTAGTTGTGTGATCTTTTCTTGGTGTACTTCCGTCATTGTGGAGATCAGATCCGTAAAAAGCTACATAAAGGAGAGTATGAGGATGCGTTGGGGTTTTATGAGGACTGTGACTTGGTGTTCACCAATTGTGCATTGTACAATGCACCGGAGACTTTTGTTATGCAGCAGTGCAGGAAGATCATGGTAAGGAGGGTGTTGCTGTACATGTTCGGGAGCATGCCCTCCCTTATCGTGACTATAGGCACGATTTAACGAGCTCTTGGTGCAATTGGAGCTGACGGGTCATATTGAGGCGGCTCGGGCAGAACGGAAGAAGGAAGTGGGGGAGAGCAAAGAAGAGGAGGACGCACATGGTGAAACTACGGTAAGTTCGCTGTGTACTTGCGGCGTATTAGCACACGCAAGAGTTATCACTATCGTTGAGTGAGTCGATCCGAAGCATAGGAGTTACTTGAAGTGTGAGAGGAAGACTTGTTCGCTTAGGTTAACGACGTGGCAGGTGCAGCCAGTACGGAAGCTGCGGTATAGCTGCGTTACCTTATGTTACTCAATGATAATACTTCTTGTAAGCAGTTGTTGGTGATAAGTTTTGATTTGATGTAGTCATATCAGGTTATAGCTCATCGACATCGAACCCCATTCCGAATCCGTATTGATTTGATAGAAACAATCATTGACGAGAATAGTCTGACTGTTGTTGTCTCTGAAACGTCCATCCTTCTTTAGTTATATCATTCCCTGCATCAACGATAATCAATCGAGTTGTGTTGAGTGATAGAGGCACATTGGTCGAGGAAGATTCTCCTCCAGCTTGGTATTCGATACGACACGATGCAAGAGAGCCAGCATTCACATTGCCGCGCCCTACGCTGATCTAGTCTAGCCCACATTCCAACGCTAACACCTGTTGATCGTCCTAACTCTCGTTCAGTTCTGGCTGGCTGCCTCGACTCCCACTTTCTAGAGTTGGCCCTAGCCTCCAGCAATTTAGACGTGAAACTGCTCAGCGGAGCGAAGTAACAATTCTTTAACATTTTCATGAGGTTCTTGTTCGCGTGCGCCATTTTAATGAAATTTGATCGCCTCCCTCCCTGGCTTATGGGTTTCTATTTCTGGAGTGTAAACTGTCTCAGAGTGTCGAAACTCCGATGATCAAAGAACATGAATATGGAGGCCTCCACAGCTCTCTAGGTATCAACTTACTGAAGACTGAGCCGCGCCTTTATATATGAAACCTCAATGACAGTCACTATGGTCTTATTAAGAAGTTCATAGCTGAGCCTAGAAATGGGCATTGATCT